CCCCCAAAACCCCAAAACCCCAAAACCCCTCAACTTCATATATCTGTTGAAATTGGGATATTTTTATTGTAAACCTTTTCAATCATGGACTTCTGGTTGTAGGTGAGGGAAGCAATACTTGCTGTGTCACATCAAACATTCTCTAAGATAGAGAGCGTTTTGCTTCTTACATTGCTTACCCCCTTCTTTGAACTGACATTTGTGATTCCTATAGGTATTAAGATGAAAGACACACGTATCAATGAGAAAATCAAGGTATTCATCCTCATCCATTTTATCAAGCTTCTCTTTTTCTTGTTGTTCAGCTTCCTTTTTCTTCTGTTTTTGCTTCTGTCTTTTCTTCTTATTCTTTTCTCTTCTTTTGGCAGCCTATGAGGTTATTAAAAGAATTACTTTCTCCTCTTCAAAATCAATTTCAGGTTCAGTCTTTGGTGCTGGTTTCTGTTGTTTCTCAGCTACTTTCGGTGCTCTGGCATTTTTCTGAAGGTTAGTTTTAAAAGTTACATAATCACTCTTGGTTGGTTTTGAAAGAGGCTCTAAAGGGGTAGTAGTATTCTGCTGCTCAATAGCTACTTTCGAAACTTTCTTTTCCTCTTCTTGATTGTTTCCTTTGTTCTTCTTTTTGTTTCTTTTTCTCTTCTTCTTTGACTTATTTGAAGCTTCATCTTGTTTTTCCTCAGTTTCAGCTTTAATTTCCTCTTTTATATTCGTTTTTTCAGCTTCTCCTACATCAAATAGTACTCTGTCATCATCTCTGAACTCATTGGCTGAGACATATTCCCCATACTTCTTAAAGTATTCTCAAAGATTTCCAAGGAAACTTATTTTGTTATCATAGAAAGTGGATATCTCTTCTGGTACTTTAACATCATTGTCAAGAGTTGTCTCTTTCGAAGCGGCTACCATACTTTTACTGACTCAATCCGTGTCACCAATCAAGATGCATAGTTTTCTCGCTCTTGTGACAGCAACGTTCATTCTTCTCTCATTTCTGAGAAAGCCAACTTCTCCATGAAGGTTTGATCTGACCATACTGATGATGATTACATCTTTCTCTCTTCCTTGGAAGCCATCAACTGTTGAAACTTCACAAAATGATTTTTTATTCTTTGAAGGTTCTTCTCTTAATGCTTTCCTGATTAAATTAGCTTGAGCATTGTAAGGCGTGATGACCCCAATTTGACTGTCATTGAGACCAAGGAGCTTTAGTCTTTCGACCATTACTTTAATAAGACTTCCTTCTCCAATATTAGATTTGGAGCCTGAGTCTTCTTCAACAGACTCATACATTTTACAATAACTTGTATCGATGAGATAGAGTGGATTTTCAAGGAATGTCTTAAGCTCCTCCGTGTCTCAATCAGGATTTTCTGGTAATTTCAGCTCTTCATTATCTGAGAGAAGATGATCTGCAACTTCAGGTGCTGCGACTAGTTCATTCCCGTACATTGCTTCTGAAGACCATTTCATAATTTTCTCATTCATCCTGTATTGGATGGTCAGCATTTTTGATGCCTCTGGATATTTATTTATCATTTGCTCAAATAAAGTATTAGAAAGTCCTTCTTTAGCAGCTTCCATTGATTTTATAGTTGGCTCTAACTGTTTATGATCACCAGCAAAAACTACTTTCTTCGCATATTGAATAGGTATCCATCATGAAGGCTCTGTAGCTTGAGCACATTCATCAATGACAACTATGTCAAGAACTTTTCCAGGTAAATTTGATCAAAAGTTAAATAGCTTGTTCCCTCCAGCCATTGTTGTAGTGCTAAGAATCACTTGAGCTCCAGTAAAGATTTCCTTGACTGCCTTCTTTTCAAATTCTCTGATATCTCCTCTGAGTCGTTTACGTTCTTCCCTAAGTGCAGCTTTTTCTTCTTTGTTTCCTTGCTTACTGAGTTTATTCAAAACACTCTTTAGTTCTTTCTTAGAGTCCATGACTACTTCTGTTGCATCTGCTCTTTGGACAAGAGCATCTAGACATCTGTTCTGGACACTATCTAAAAGTCTAGCAGGGTGTCCAATTCTGACAACTTTGAGGCTTCCTTCCCCTTGAATTAGTTTCTCTGCAATATTGTCAACAGCAATATTGGAAGGAGCACAACACAAAACTTTGGCATTGAGATCCATACATGCTTTCTTAATAAACTCTACGAGAGTCGTAGTCTTGCCTGTTCCTGGTGGCCCATGAATAATTGCAAGTTCTTTTGATTTTAATGAATGAATAACAGCTTCTTTTTGTATGGAATTTAGATTTTCATTGAACCAGTTATCTTCTACTTTCCTGGCAAGTTCTTCTGGGAATTCATTAAGCTCTTTAGAGGGCTCTGAATAACCACACAAGATATTTCTCACATTTTCTAAACTATCACTCTCGACGCTAAGGGTTAGGATGAAAAATTACTATTCAGTTAGCTTTTTGACTGCCTGTTTTCATCTCAAATAAGTAATGTCATTTGGGAGAAGACATAGTGTCAGTGGCTCGCTTAATTCGTTCTATAAATGGTAAATATTGGCTAGATATTTCAGATATTCTGGGAATATCTGATTTAAAATAATTATAAGAAGTCTAATAACAGAAGAAAGATGAAGTAGTCTGTTGAGTCTTACCAATGCATCATCAAATTCATTAAAAGATACAATAACCGCTTTTTCTGTGACACGATAGACTATTCCTCTAAGTTCGCTTGTGGATCTATTTCTTATGATTTAAAATTACGATGGTCTCGTATTAGCATCGGTGACTGTGACAATATCTCCATTTGATAACTTATGAGTCTGTTCATCAACCTTTTTATGTTGCTTGTAGTTGATATACTCAAAAGGAATAAGTACTTTCCCATAAAGCCCGGCTGTGATTTCTCCCATTGACAAGTTTGAAATGCAGAGGCCTCTTTGCTCAAGATCCTAAATGATAACTTTCTGTGCTTACTCTTCGTGAAAGTGTTTTAAAGAGTTGATCAAATTCTTCAATCTCTGCCTCCCTCTCCATATCAAGGAGTTCTTTGAGCTTGGATCCTCTTAAGCCTAAATCTGACTCCATTTGCTAAATTTATTAATTATCCAATCAATCTGAGAGTTCTTGGCTGGGGTTTTGGGGTTTTGGGGTTTTGGGGTTTTGGGG